GTGATCTGGTGAAAGCGACCTTCGAATCACTTCATCGTTCGCTTTTATATCAAATGAGAGTTTTCACGAATTAAACTTGGCTTGTTAGTCTGACCGGGCTGTAAGAATGTGACACAGCTCTGATGATGCCTATTATGTGAGAAGTGAAAGCTCGGAACTCCTTCATAAAAATGGAGGGAGACTGTCTTAGATAAATTGTGAATCGGAATCTTCCTTCGGAAGCCAAACAACATTTGGACAGGTGGAACGCATCATATTCCTGTAGGATTCCCTTCGATTTTTTTGTTGAACATTATTCGCAATGAAAATGAGCTTAAAAACGCAGCTTATTGATATGATAGAATATGATTTCCCTTTATGTTCTTCTTTTTTATATTTCGTTATAGTGGATTTTGAAGTTTTCCATTTTTTTAGAGAGTCAAGTAATGTCTCCCGCCTTCTTTTAACCGGTCTTCATGCATGTGGCGATCTGTCTATGGCTGTTCTCCGTATCGCCAATGAAAGTCGGCTGACTAAGGCAGTGGTGCTGGTCTCTTGTTGTTACATGAAAAAGATGCTAGTTCCGTCTACACAATCTTCATATAATCTTGATACCTCCGCCAGTCTTTCAGATGCCTTCAATTTTCCACAGTGCCAACTGTTCAAAGACCTCTCAGTTAAACCTGTATGTTGAGCAGTGCTATTTCCACGATTAAGGGTCGAGTGATAAATACCACCATATATCAACGCTACATTAATTTGAGAAACTTAGAAAATAAAACTGGAAACTAGTTTATATTGTAGCCATGAAGCAATAACTCTTTCTTGACATTGGTCTCTTGAACGCGTGGGCCCTTTTAACAAGGATTTTTAACTTATTCTTTGCCCACGACCTTTTCTTGAATTTGATAAGGGAACCTCCGGCACGTTTAAATTTGGTATTAGTTATTGCAATGCTCGGCGGCAGTTACAAAAAATAATTATATACGGTTGGCTTTTGTTAAAATTCCTAGTCTTGCAATAAATTGTGCTAATGTTTAGGGAATCTATGCAACGGTTTTAACCGATAGACCAATTTGACCGTAAGTCATGCCTTCTTAACTCAAGCAAGCCAGCGCTATAAACCTCAGTATCAAATTTGTTGTAAACTTAAACTCATCAATGAGTAATGTGATGTATTCACCCTATTTCGTGTAAGGTGATGAAGGACTGGCAATCCCACCAAAAGAATATGATATAGCAGAGGCCTGACCCTCCTTGAAACTCACTTATGCCCTGTG